TGTAGATGAATGAATGAATGAATGAATGAATGAATGAATGAATGAATGAATGAATGAATGAATGAATGAATGAATAAATGTAAATGAATGAATGAATAATTGTAAATGAATGAATGAATGAATGAATTAATGAATGAATAAATGTAAATGAATGAATGAATAATTGTAAATGAATGAATGAATGAATGAATACATGTAGATGAATGAATGAATGAAGGAATAAATGTACATGAATGAATGAATGAATAAATGTAGATAAATGAATGAATGAATGAATGAATGAATGAATGAATGAATGAATGAATGAATGAATGAATGGATGGATGGATGAATGAATGAATGAATGAATGAATGAATGAATGAATAAAGGGATGAATAAATATAGATGAATGAATGAATGAATGAATGAATGAATGAATGAATGAATGAATGAATGAATGAATGAATGAATGAATGAAACAATGAATGAATGAAAATGAATGAAAATGTGTATGAATGAATGAATGAATGAATGAATGAATGAATGAATGAATGAATGAATGAATGAATGAATGAATAAATGTAAATGAATGAATAAATGTAAATGAATGAATGAATAATTGTCAATGAATGAATGAATGAATGAATGAATGAATGAATGAATGAATGAATAAATGTAGATAAATGAATGAATGAATGAATGAATGAATGAATGAATGGATGGATGAATGAATGAATGAATGAATGAATGAATGAATGGATGAATAAATGTAGATGAATGAATGAATGAATGAATGAATGAATGAATGAATGAATGAATGAATGAATGAATGAATGAATGAATGAATGATTGAATGAATGAATGAATGAATTAATTAATTAATTAATGAATGAATGAATGAATGAATGAATGAATGAATGAAATGAAATGAATAAATGTAGATGAATTAATGAATGAATGAATAAATGTAGATGAATAAATGAATAAATGTAAGTGAATGAATGAATGGGCGTGGAAGCGCTGGAAGAGCGCGTGCGCGTGGAAGCAGAGACAGCCGAAGCACAGCGGCTTCAACTTGGCTTCCCCACGCCAGATGAAAGCATTCAGGGAACTCAAATACCTTGAGCAGAAGGCTCCAAAATGCTTTGCTGGCTTTGGACAGCCGCAAACCATGAAGGGCTTCTACTTGATTGATGAGCTTGCCATGACTGACGGGCTCCTTGCTCGGACGCGTGTGTTCTGGCGCATCATAATGAAGTGTGTGCTACGGGTCTTCCACATCTCTGGCCACGCGGTGCTTCGTCTTTCCAGAATCCCACTCAGCAGGGACTTTTGCGACGCAATCACCTCGCAGTGGAGTTTTGTTCAGTTGTTCTTTTAGAAGACTGTCTTCATAGAGAGCCTTTGATGGGCCTCCATGATTTTTGTGTGCGCACGCACGTGTCCTGCGTGCGCTTGCAAGACGCTGCGAGGTTTCCGCATGGCGAGTTTGAACTCGCCGCATGGCGAGTTTTAACTCGACAGTCGTTACGTCAAGGTTCGTAGCCATGAGGAAGTGCTGAATGTGGCTCGCCGGCATCACTATTCCCACCAAGTCCAAGGATCCTCGTCAATGTGGCTGCGGTGCCCGTTGCTTTGCTGAAGCCGCGCAAGAGCGGCAGTGCTCGATGTTGCGGGGCTCTAGCGGCCGCGTCGGCGGTTCCTTTGCGGATGTTGATGAATGTGCAACTACGACAGAGTCCCCATGCCTGCAAGTCGGGGTGAGAGATCAGCCTCGCAAGATATTCACAAGTGCGTCGCTGGTGCGACGACTGCATTCTGGCGAGAACAAGGAAGAGCTGCAGCAGAAACGCAAAAGCGGCACGGACTCGCACGCAGCTGCTGGATGGAAGCTGCATTGCAGAAATATCGTCTGCCTCGGCTGCTCTTCTAACAGCAAATGATCACACGAATTATGTCGAACGAGCCGGTCTGCTACGACGCGTTGAGACTGGACGAATATATGACGCACGAGTGCAGTGACAGGCAGCTAGACAATCCAACGGTGCAGAAAGAACTCCTTTTCGCACAAACGGCATTTTCGGCAACAAGCATCAGCATCATATTCGAGGCAGACCGCATTATTTTCGTGGTAGAACACGTCATTTGCCACAAAAGGCATCAGACGGCGTCGTCTGTAGAAACACTGTCCAGAAGTCACCATTGGACTGTCTGGGTGTTGAGACGCAAACACGTTCGCCACACGTGTAACAACGGGAACCCTTCGCTACGAATTCGGGAATCAAGTGACCGATCCCCTTGAGGGATCTAATATTATATGAGGCCCACGCAGCCAAAGGCTTCAAATAAAACATCAATGTTTGCTTACGCAACGGTTTGAGGAACAAATTAATTAGGTACTTATTTACATCTGGTTTACAGTTGTACCCCAAAACCCGAGCCTGGGGAAAAAACGCAAATCCTCCTCTTGTAGGTTCCTTTGGGGAAAAGCACGAATTGTGGGCTATTCTGCACAGACTCCAGGCCCACATCACGGCCCCGCAGCGCGTGCACTCGTTGCTTGCCCAGTAGTGGTCCGCCGGGCAATCCCCACAGGTCAGACCTGCCGATGCTGCACCCTTCCGGAAGCAAAGTACCTCCGCCCCCCCCCCCCCCCGAAATGACGGAGGGGCAGCCGAAATGCGGAAACCTTTATGACCAAATAAGTCATACCGAATTCATGCCAAGCTTGTTTTACCCACCGATCTCCTCATAATCTGTCTGAAAGCTATGTCGGCGATCTTCGGAACACGACTGGCCCGTCTGCACGCTGCAAGAAACAAGCCCTGGAAAATGGATCTGCTAAAATGGAATCCGACTCTGGCACACTGAAGGCGTGGTAAATGAGACCTGCCCCCAACAGTAACAAATATGTTCAAAAGGCGACACTGGTACAACCATTTCACCCACACAAAAGAACCCGCAAAACCAGAGTTTCAAGCGTCGCTTAGGGCCGTGGATTCAAATCCAAGACGCCTTCCCAAGCTCGAGTTGAGACTCAAGCAACTGTCGCTCCAACCAGCTGGAGAACCAGGCGAGTGTTTCTCGAATTAGGAACAAAACCCTTTGGCGTTTAACAAAATTCAGAAGAAGCCAAGGCTTTTCGCTAGTCCCTTACACATCCCCAAGGCTTCGGCACAAGGCTTTGACTTGCAACATCCATCACACAGGCGCGGACCTCCTGCCGCTCACTGATATGGCTTCCCACCCATCCGTCGGATCGGATGTGCTTCTCGAGCCCCGCCTTGGCGCCCGCCCTTGCAAGTTCCAGGGGAGCCACCAGGACAGAAGTTATCCTGGCACTTGTAGACTTGCAAAGGTGCCGCCGGATCACTGTGGTAGCCGCCCAGCACCTGGCTGAATCCCTTCCCAACAAACCTGTCCTCGTTGGCAAGAAGCACAAACAATCAAGCGACACCCTGAAATCCTGAACACTTCAGACACCCAAACCTGTTCGTTGCTATTTGTGGAGCGTCCTAGTGGAAGTGACATGTGCCGAAACACTTCTGCTTTCTAGGAAATGATGCGCTTTGAGAATCCAGTGGAACTGATCCAGGTCCATCAGTAGTCTCACTGCACGCGGCATGTGTCTGCACAACTTCTGCACAATACTTCAACCGAAGGCAGCGCAAAGAGTGTCAAATAAGGTGCCTGTGCTTCTGATTCACGCAACATTTGAGCCACACCCTAAACGTGTCATGATTTGCTATGTCGTATCATTCTGCGTACGCCTCTAGCTTGCGCCGCCTTACGCGCGTGGAGTTTTTCGTGGAGTTTTTGCTTACGAAAAGGTCAATATGACACGAATCTTACTAAACATGTACACAGAGGTTTTGGACGTCGCTCATTTGGCTCGCCAACTTTGTCCAAGCCTAACGGGTTTGGATTGCTTTCCAATGTCAGATACATCACATCTCAACACACACACACACACACTCTTAGCAGTTCTTGGCCCGGTGTTGAATGAATGCGCGCTAAAAACATCCAAATGCCGGCTAAGCGCTGTTGCCAGCCATGCCTGCCAAGCAGTGGCACTGACACTAAGCTTTGTGTCCCTGCTAAATCCCGCAGGTTGGTTATGCCACTTGGGTTGGTGCGGAACTTCGTGTTGTGGCAAGAATCTTCTCATGAAACATGCCCCTCACATCAAAAAATGCGCCTACGCTGCTCAGTTCAATTTGCCTACTCGAACTTTTGGCGGTCCTGTCTGTTGGCCTGAAACACGCTGTGAAGGACAGTATGTGACTAGCACGTGAGAGTGGCTCCTGCGGGGATCATCCTTTGGCTGGATTGAAACGCAAACAAAGAGAAACCAAAACATGTGGTGCTCATCTTTAGAAACTCATCCGAACTGAAAAAAGAACCATGTCCCCAGATGCCCAAGGCACATGTGGGAGCTGCGCACCGGTGTCGTTCACACTCTGGAGCAGCGATAGGGTGCTGCCCAAAGGGCAAGAAAGCCCATCTCCGCAAAAGGTGCAAACGCCTCGGGTGATTTGGCCAATGGGCTCGGTCTAACACCTGGCTGAATGCCCTTCTCCCTTACTCCTTTGTCGCTTCGCACAACCTCCGGGTGGGTCAATTCAGAGTCGGCAGAGGATCTGGCACAATATATCCAGGGGCGACACGGGGAAAGTAGATACCCGGAAAAGGCGAGGCGCCTCCGTCGTCGATGTGGCTTTCCGTACAAACGCAGGATGCCAGGCTTATGGCCCCCAACAGCTGTGTGGTCCTGCTGGCCGGACACTTCGTGCATGAGGTCTGTGCCTCCTGCCTTGCGAGAGGTTTCACCATGCATCAGACGGGCAGTTCACGAAAAGTCTAAATAGTCTGAGTTCAAACGGGAAGCCCACAAACAAACAAAAAGCCGCAACCAATTGCGCCGTGCTGCTCTTCATAAAAGCCCTGGCCGCAGTACTGGCATTCCACGTTGCCGTACGAGTTGCTATAGCTGCCCTGCCAAGGGCTGTCTTCACTTGAAAAGAGTGGCGTTCAAACGGTCTACCAAACACCCGAAGAATTCAAGGGAATCTGACGGAATCTGTGCCAATTTTTGGCCCACGATTCTCCCCCGTTGCTTTCCGGGGCCTTAACTGTGAAGCTCCTTGGGACTCGTTTTTGTGGGCGCGGCTTGCCGCTTTAACCGACAGCGAGAAGCGGCAAGCGCCTTGGGGCATCGCTCGCAGCTGGTGGAGTAGGTCTTGGACTGGAAATGGCCCGGCGGGCATTGGGCACACCGAAAGGTCCTCGAGCCAAGCTCTTTTATGTGGCTGTGGGTCAAAATCCTGTAGCCCTGGTGAACATCAAAATAGGCGGCAAATGGATGTTCATCCACCAAATGGAGCCATGTTCTGCCCGATGGCCATGTCTATTAAGGGTTTTGTTGGCAACTTTGGCTTCAAAGGGACTGGTCCAAAAGCGAGCGCCCACCTGCCAGTCACGTCCACCACTTCCTCCGAGGCCCTCCCAGCGGGGCACAAGCCGCACCCTGCGGCATCGGTGCGGTTGTCCAGGAAGGCGCCTGAAGGTTCAAACGCGCAAGTCCTAAAATCCTGAGCCAAAAATGGCCGGTTGGCTTCCATGGCTCACAATCACGATTCGGGCGTTGGCTTGAAGGACAAGGAAACACCTAAGTCTGCCTGCGGCATTGCCTCCGCTAATGTTTGCAACTGTTGGGAAATGAGTGCAGCAACTTCTCAACGCTCAGTCTTTGCCTTCCCCTACGCTGGAGATCACGAGCTCGACAACTCTGTGGAAGGCAAGGCTTGGCAACATCCATTTACCCAACCAGACCCGACAGGCCCTCTATGAAAAATACAAAAGCGGCTGTCAAGACCTTCTTGTTCATGTTACAAAGGCTTGGCTCAACCATGCCCAACCCTAAGCCCCTGCTTCTTTGGGGACTCCACGTACAACTAAACGGGGAAAGTAACAACGGAATGCCCGGCCCTTGAGAATCTCACCTTGTCCATCGATCAAGCCAAAGCCCTCGAAGCAGGCTGTGTCGATCGGCACCCAGCTCTCCCACTTGTCCCTGTTGTCTTTCCTGACGAAATGCCCTCTTGCAAAAAGACCACACAGTGTTTGTGGTGGTCACCGGGTATCAAATGAATGGAGTTCAAAAAGTTTGGCCAAACTTGCGGGGAAAAAAAAACAAACAAACAACAGATGCAACAAATATCAGCCAATGCAAAAGGCAAAAGCCTGAACCCGCATCTAGCCATGCATCATCCACTGGCATGACACATTCCGTGCTGAACCTGCTCCTGCCCTTTTGAATTCCAACAGCAAATTCTGGACTTCTGGCAGCTCAAAGTTGATGTTAGCCACCTGAGCTCCGAATGGATTAGTTTGCCGTTCTCACCGTTGATTCCAACCATTCATTTCAAGCTATTCCAGTTCGACGTTTCCAAATATCCGATGAGTCTTGGAATCAAATGTTTGGAGGCTGCCAACCTGTTCAAGCTGTAGGAAGCATCCATAAATCAGTTGCTCACTGCGTCCGGGACACAAATTCCTGCACTCGCTGCGCCTTCTGTTGCCTTACTTGTGGCTATACTTTCCTTTTTCAGCTTAACTTCAAAGTGAAACCCAAGAACAAAAGGCTTGTTTTGGGGGCACAAGGGGAATCCAAGGACCACAAATTGCTGCTAGACCCGGTCACAGGTTTTTGCTCGCCATCTTAGCCACGTAGACGCCAGCCGCCCCGGTGCTCTTGTCTCCTTTTGCCCAGGCAATCGGGCTGTGCCGAGGGAACAAAATCTGTGATGGCAGCCTCAGCTATGCACAAAACCAGAGTCTCAGTTGTTCAGACTCCACTAGCCCTTTGGGGGTTTGCCCCCTAATAAAAAAGGGGGAAAGGGTGCAAAAACAATATGGGATGGCATTGACCTTCATGTTAAGAAAAGAACTCTGCACAAGGACCTCGCCCTCTTGTGTAACATCATTGACATGCTTGTCTGCATGCCTCAAAACTGGGTTTACTGCAGGCTGGTTGATTCCCCGACTGAAGGTGGATAGGCCGGTTTTGCATTGGTTTGGACTCCAGGGTAAGCTTAGGACAGCTTGTTCGGTTGGTGTCAAATATTGGGTAGGCCTATGGTGGCTCTAAGTCGGCTGGTGGCGGGTTTCGTGTGGGCTACGGATTTATTTTGGTGAGCTTCAGGTTGGTTTAGGGTTTGAAGACTGGATTTAAAATTGCTTCTGGGAGGGATTGCTATTTGGGCCAGGGCATGAACTTTCGTGCAAATTGGGATCATGGCTGAGGTAGAAGCTGGGTGCAGGGTCTGCAAGAACACTGCAAGAACGGTGTGAAGCTATATAGATTTGAGTTGAGTTGAAGATGGGTTCAGCGCTGGTTGGGGTGGGAGACCCCAAACACCTGGAGGTAATTTTCATTCATTGCCAAGACATCTTGATCACATAGCCCTTATTTCCTGCGCAACACCAAACCGTCCATCATGTCTTGTTTCGTGCCTCCGATTTTTCTGTCACAGTGTTCATTGATGTTTTCAAATGCAAGGAACCCAACCGTTCCCGAATTTAGACACAGGGAGGGTCCATCACTTACCCGAGCTGCATCTCAATGAAGGTAGAGTCGGGCACCCACCAGTAGAACAGGCTCCGCACCGTGCCTTGCCAATGGCGATCGCTGCCCCCCCGTTCGCGTCACAACAAGCTGCGCTTTGCAGTCAAATAGCATCATGAAACATGGAAACCTACAAGCTGGCTTTCCTTGTTTACCGATATCTCGGTAGTTGCCATGCCATTCCATACGTCTCACAGCACTTTACCTGACGACACAGCTGCTCGTTTAGTCTTGTTGCTGCTGTTGCTGTCGTGGCTGCGGTTTTGGTTCTAGTTAGCTGCAGGCTGTGCTGTTTCTGTTGCTGTGATTTGTTTGCTTTCTGCACGTACTGCTGCTGCTGCTGTTGCTGTTGTTCAGAGGGCCAGGAAGGGATCCACTCGGATGGGACCCCTTCACTCATTTGATTTAGAACATGTTTGATGAATGACTCTAAATCACTCTGAATCACTCTGAACAACTCTAAGCCACACTAAACCGCTCTAAATCATTCTAAGCGCTTAGAGCTTGCTGGCAAGGTCGCAAAACATTGAAAATCATGTTTTGTTGGAGATATTGGTAGAATGAAAGCATGATGCGAACACGCGCCAGTCCGCTCAAGATATAAAACACTCCATTCAGGTAGGCCGTCGCCATTCCCCTTCTGCAAAGATGTGCCTTAAAGTGATTTAGAGTGGTGTAGGGTGAGGGGGACCCATGCCGAAACCACGTTAAGGTGCACAGTTTTTGATGGGACCAATCTCTGGGTCCCTTGCCCGAAACCGCCCGCCCCATCAATTTAATCTAGAGGCAACGCTCAAGCACTCTAAAGAAAAACGGTGAGGGGGTCCCATTCGAAGGGGTCCCATCTGGCCCCCGTGAGTTGTTGTTGTTGTTGTTGTTGTTGCTGCTGCTGTTGTTGTTGTTGTTGCTGCTGTTGCAGTTGCAGTTGCTGTGGCTGTGGCTGCGGCTGTGGCTGTGGCTGTGGCTGTGGCTGCTGCAGTTGTTGTAGTTGTAGTTGTAGTTGTAGTTGTAGTAGTAGTAGTAGTAGTAGTAGTAGTAGTAGTTGTTGTTGTTGTTGTTGTTGTTGTTGTTGTTGTTGCTGTGTTTGCTGTGTTTGCTGTTGTTGTTGTTGTTGTTGTTGTTGTTGTTGTTGTTGTTGTTGTTGTTGTTGTGGTTGTTGTTGTTGTTGTTGTTGTTGTTGTTGTTGTTGTTGTTGTTGTTGTTGTTGTTGTTGTTGTTGTTGTTGTTGTTGTTGTTGTTGTTGTTGATGTTGTTGATGTTGTTGATGTTGATGTTGCTGTTGCTGTTGATGCTGTTGCTGCTGTTGTTGCTGTTGTTGCTGTTGTGGTTGTGGTTGTTGTGGTTGTTGTGGTTGTTGTGGTTGTGGTTGTTGCGGTTGTTGTGGTTGTGGTGTTGGTGCTGGTGTTGGTGTTGGTGTCGTTGTCGTCGTGGTTGTGGTTGCGGTCGCGGTCGCGGTCGCGGTTGCGGTTGCGGTTGCGGTTGCGGCGGCGGCTGCGGTTGCGCTCGCGGTTGCGGTTACGGTTGCGGTTGCGGTTGTCGTTGTTGTTGTTGTTGTTGATGTTGTTGATCATGTTGCTGTTGCTGTTGCTGTTGCTGTTGCTGTTGGTGTTGCTGCTGCTGTTGCTGCTGCTGCTGTTGCTGCAGTTGCTGTTGTGGTTGTGGTTGTGGTTGTGGGTGTTGTGGTTGTGGGTGTTGTTGTTGTTGTTGTTGTTGTTGTTGTTGTTGTTGTTGTTGTTGTTGTTGTTGTTGTTGTTGTTTTTCTTGTTCTTGTTCTTGTTGTTGTTGTTGTTGTTGTTGTTGTTGTTGTTGTTGTTTGTTGCTGCTGCTGCTGCTGTTGTTGCTGCTGCTGCTGCTGCTGTGATGTTGTTGTTGTTGTTGTTGTTGTTGTTGTTGTTGTTGTTGTTGTGATTGTCGTTGTGGTTGTTGTTGTTGTGAATTTGCGCTGTTGCTGTTGATGTTGCTGCTGCTGCTGCTGTTGTTGTTGTTGTTGCTGTTGCTGTTGCTGTTGCTGGTGTTGTTGCTGTTCTTGCTGTTGTTGTTGTTGTTGTTGTTGCTGTGTTTGCTGTTGTTCTTGTTGTTGTTGTTGTTGTTCTTTTTGTTGATGTTGTTGATGTTGTTGATGTTGATGTTGCTGTTGCTGTTGATGCTGTTGCTGCTGTTGTTGCTGTTGTTGCTGTTGTGGTTGCGGTTGTTGTGGTTGTTGTGGTTGTTGTGGTTGTGGTTGTTGCGGTTGTTGTGGGTGTGGTGTTGGTGCTGGTGTTGGTGCTGGTGTCGTTGTCGTCGTGGTTGTGGTTGCGGTCGCGGTCGCGGTCGCGGTTGCGGTTGCGGTTGCGGTTGCGGCGGCGGCTGCGGTTGCGCTCGCGGTTGCGGTTACGGTTACGGTTACGGTTGCGGTTGCGGTTGTCGTTGTTGTTGTTGATGTTGTTGATCATGTTGCTGTTGCTGTTGCTGTTGCTGTTGCTGTTGATGTTGCTGCCGCTGCTGTTGCTGCTGCTGCTGTTGCTGCAGTTGCTGTTGTGGTTGTGGTTGTGGTTGTGGTTGTGGTTGTGGTTGTGGGTGTTGTTGTTGTTGTTGTTGTTGTTGTTGTTGTTGTTCTTGTTGTTGTTGTTGTTGTTTGTTGCTGCTGCTGCTGCTGTTGTTGCTGCTGCTGCTGCTGTGTTGTTGTTGTTGTCGTCATTGTCGTTGTGGTTGTGGTTGTTGTTGTTGTTGTTGTTGTTGTTGTTGTTGTGAATTTGCGCTGTTGCTGTTGCTGTTGCTGCTGCTGTTGCTGTTGGTGTTGGTGTTGCTGTTGCTGTTGTTGTTGTTGCTGATGCTGATGCTGTTGCTGTTGCTGGTGCTGTTGTTGCTGTTGCTGTTGTTGTTGTCGTTGTCGTTGTTGTTGTTGCTGTGTTTGGTTGCTGTTGCTGTTGCTGTTGCGGTTGCTGCTGCTGCTG